TTTCTATACTCTATATTTCACGTAATGTTTCTATTTGGAGTGACACAAAATCAGCTTACTTGCTTCCTAGTGCACTCCTTGTATTGTCGCGTAACTAATTTTTAGAATAAATAAATAAAAATGCATGTATTTAAGATTTTGACCCAACACTAGAAAACAGGTAAACCTCGCTTTTAACCTGGTTTTCAGTTGGTTACGTTAATAAATTGCATTTTTTTTTTCTTGTTATCGTTGTAAATGGAGCTTTAGAAAGACGTGTATACATGTTGTGCATATCAGTAATAGCTACTACAAAAGTTGAAGAAACCATGTTGAAAGATATAACATAATGTAGAAAAATAACGCTTTTCAAACTAACATTAAAGCTAGAGAAATAGACTACGGATGAGAACGTGATGGGATACATGTAAGTTAGACAACTTATCTCTTCTAAAATGTATCAGAAAAAGCTACATATGAGTGGAGTTGGTTAGCATTTGATTGTCATGAAATTATTTTGGTACAACAGGAAAAAGCAATCAATCTGCGTTTTATCTAGCTAGGTATCTTACCTGGTAAGCAGCATATTTCTGCTCCCCAGAAAAAATATTTAACACCTTTATTACACCTAGCCGCAGGATCACAGCTAATGTTTGAATCCTAAAGACCATGATATAGGAAGCCTAGCTTAGCTAACTAGACATATAACATTTGCAAAGCAAATGCATAATGTTTACGTTCGCATATGGTCTGCTCTGTTAATTCTCACTCACATTAATATATATGGTGATAGGAGTCTAAATCCCTCCTGCTATAAAATTGAAACATGATGTAACCCAACACTAGTTACCATAGTGACAGACGTCCGGTTCAGGTCGTTGACCTTATTTGTTTGGGGAAAGAGAGGAAGAAGAAACAGAGCAAGAACAATATGCTTTCTTCTACGAAGGTAAACATAATGATTGCATACACTTAACTTATCTCAAACAGAAAATGTTCAGCAGACTGAAGATACTTCTCACGCTTCTTCTGCTGACGATCTTGAAGGAAATTGGAGCAGCCACACCGTGTGACTTTCTACATACGCGTACAGAATGTACCTCTGACTGTCGTAAAAAAGGCCTCAAGAGGGTTCCACAAGACCTACCCAAACATGTCAGGCTAATTAGATTAGAGAAAAACGCCATCGCGTCCTTAAATCGGTCCGACTTCTCCAGGTACACGAAATTATCCGGTATTTATTTATCTCGAAATAATATAACTGACATTCAGAATGGGACATTCTCAAGCATACCACAGCTTTTACTGCTGTCCTTGGACAATAACCTGATAACTAGTATTAAACCTGGTCCATTTTCAA